CCTTTCTAATCTCATAAGAGGAATGTTTACAAACACATTTATGAGAGCTGATACAAACCTGAACAATTTGGGCATGTCATCCTGTGACACATAATGTAAACAAAGTTAAAATGTTAGAAAAATTTTAAACTGGATGGAGGAATAATTTACAGGATTATATTGCATCTATATTCATTATTAAATATTTAATCCAGAAGACATTATATTTCCTCAAATATACCTCAGTATGACTTGTAATATCTAACATTATTTTATGCACTGTTAATAAGGGAAGATAACCCTTGTAATTAATATGTGCCACTATGACTTATTACTTTAAGGTACTATTTTTTTTTTTTTTTACTTATTGAAAGAGCTGTTTTGGTCTTATTTAAACAGAGATATTTTTATTGCCTTAGCCTATCCACCTAAAATGAAAACCAAGTGAAAAAAAAGCAGTTGAGTAGGTAGGTGCTGAGGGCAGATGGCAAATAACGCCCAAACACACTCTTACTCAGCATCAACTAGGTACTAAGCATTGCTGAAATCAGGAGCCTTGGAAAACATAAAAAATGGAAGTAACTGAGTGTCTGTCCTGGAGCAGGGTAGATGAGCATTGTTTAGGGGAGAGTTATGTAAATACTCTTCCCTGGTAAATATACTTCCCTGGTAGCTTAGTTAGTAAAAAATCTGCCTGCAGTGCAGGAGACCCCAGTTCGATTCCTTGGTCGGGAAGATCCGCTGGAGAAGGGATAGGGTACCCACTCCAGTATTCTGGCCTGGAAAATTCCATGAACTACAGTCCATGGGGTCCCAAAGAGTCGGATTCGACTGAGTGACTTTCACCATGTAAATTTAGAGGCTCCTTCTGCAAGGTGCAGGGAAATCATCCCCAAGGATCATCCCTCCCACCGGCTACTGGGAGCTGATCTGACACAGGAAACCAGGACGCAGTTCAACCACAGGACTCTGGAAACAAAACCAGTCTATCTAATGCCAAATGTCAACATTATCACCTTCTTACATTTTCTTCTTCTTTTTTCTAAGGAAGCCCCAAAGGGCCTTTCTGAAATACCCTTTCAAAGCAAAGGCTACTCACTTTGCATCATCTGGGCTTGGGTTGTACATTATTGAGCAACCTTGAATATTCACTGAAAGGACTGATGCTGAAGCTGAAGCTTCAATACTTTGGCCACCTGATGTGGAGAACTGAGTCACTGGAAAAGACCCTGATGCTGGGAAAGACTGATGGCAAAAGGAGAAGGCGGCAGCAGAGGATGAGACAGCTGGATGGCATCACCAACTGAGTGGACATGAATTTGAGCAAACCCTGGGAGACAGTGGAGGACAGGGAAGTCTGGTGTGCTGCAGTCCATGGGGTCACAAAGAGTCAGAAAAACAAAAATAACACGGGTAGAAATACCCTCAAATCCCTAATCAGGTTCTACAGTCTGAATGACAAGGACAATCCGAGCATAGATAGCACTTTTGTTTCATCCCCACAAAAACGTTCATGACCCCAGAGAATACTTTAAGGTGGCTGTTGGGGCTTTTGCAGAGATGTCAGATTGAGGTGTATGAATTCAGATGCCATGTCAGCCTGGAGGAGGGCTCCTCGTCACAGAACTGGTCTGAAAGATGTATCAGGTCCCTCTTCCTGCTGAAAAAAGATGTTTGCTTTCTATCTGGAATTTTTATTCCATCCCTTGAAGACTTTTGTGGAGGACATAAAACAACTAAGAATGTCTATGGGGAATCATCACCTCTTCATGGCAGGCAAGAAATCCCAAACATGTTAGTCTGTTTTGCTCCATTCTCCCCAAGAAAAGGTTATATTTCCTTTTTCAGTGCCCATAATCTTTTTAGAACCTTCTCTTTATTGGGCCCATAAACATCCCAGGGTAGCAGCACATCATCACAGGCTGAGAAACCCCATCAGAAAAGCCACCTCGTAAATGACGCCAAGAAGCTGGTGTCCCGGACACTTGAATTAACTAATTTTATGATGGTATTTACAGCACCTGGAATATTTGGACCAATTGTTGCCCAACAAACCATTTGATAGATGAACTTGGCCTCCTGCTCAACAGTCCTTTGATCCTGCTGCACATTTTTCAAAAGTTCATTCCATCCCTTCTTGCCTGATCATCTATAAACGCTTTGATTTTTCTAAGAAAAAAAATACCACCAGCGGAAAAAACTTCCCTATTTTTTTCCCTTTCTGGGATAAAATCGGGACAGTTTGGAACAGATACAACTTGTGGGTCAGGACCAGATAAACAGAGAGACACATCAGAAAGGTGACATCTGTGCACTTAGGATGCTTTATGGTGCCCCAAACTCCCCATTTCTTACTTTTTTCAATGAAAGGAAGGAAACTGAAGTTGTATGTTGAGTTCTACCCACTCTGATGAGAGGAGAATAAGGCCTCCTTATAAAATAAGTAAAATTCTTATAAAATAAGAATTTATTTTAAATTTCTCTACATTTATAGCTACTAAACTAATACCTTACTCAATCGGCGTCCACCACTTTCTACCTGTACCCCACCTCAGTTTTTCAAACATACTCACCTTATTTATTAGAAATCACAAGAGGTATTTTTACATACACATTATTTAACTTCATTAACTACCACAGACAAATTATTTCAATTTTTCTAAAGTCTCTTTATCTTTTTTGAATAGGAGAATGAGGACTATTTAGCAGGTTAATCCTATGTTCTATATTAATCTGAAATGATTTTTTAAAGATTTATGTCATTAACAATGTGTAATTCATTTCTAGGTGAAAGTGAAAGTGTTAATTGCTCAGTCGTGTCCAACTCTTCACATCCCCAGGGATTGTAGCCTGCCAGGCTCTTCTGTCCATGGGATTCTCCAGGCAAGAATACTGGAGTGGGTAGCCCTCAGTTATATATGAAAAAAAGTCACACAAGGTCAAAAACATGAGGTCTCATATTTAAAACAATACTTTGGGGTTTAAAAGGTCCTAAAAAGCCCTCTACCACCATACAATCACTAAATGGGTTTTAATCATCACAGCAACATTTTTCATTCAGCTGAGCATCTCGTAAGGGAGTTTTTCTGTCACCTTCAGCTCACAGGCTTTTTTTTCACCACTGTATGAATGAATTATTTCCAATTTTGGTTGTCCAAATAAGACTTCATCCTTTTACTCAAAATACATCAAAACCATGACAAAAGAAATTTTGCTGAGGAATATGACAGAAAACAACAAAATTCTGTAAAGGAATTATCCTTCAATAAAAAAAATTAATTAATTAAAAATATTTTAGTAAAAGTGTGGCTTTTGAAAGTTGTACATAGTGTGAGGCCTTGGGGCAGAATTGTGCTTATATTGCTAACGGATGCCTCTTTCTGATGCACTTTGTTAATTCAAGATCAGAACAATGCAGGCATCCTGGGAATACTGAACACAACACAATGCATGAAAGCATAATATACCTTTCTCCTGCTCGTCAGAGATTGCTAAATCACGTTTCACGTTTATTTCTAATATCAGTGAGAAGGTGGGGAAGAATGATGCCACAGAGATGCTACAGTACAAACACAGGTCCATGAGCACAGATTCTTTTGTCTCTGAGACATACCCTATCCATCTCTCTCTCTCAAAAAAAAAGTAAGAATATTCTTTGACACTAAACCATATTTGGACAAATTCATTGCCAAGCGGAAAATCAGGGTATTGCTCCCTGTAGAACCATGGAGGATGCCTGTTAGAGATTAGGAGGATATTAGCAGCTTGTTTGCCCAAAGGCAAGCGAGAGAATCGCATCAGAGCCGAGGCAGGGCTTTCAGGATGAATCTAATAGTTTTGCATTTGCTTCTATTGGTGCGTCGTTAATGGCGCTTCTGAGTCCTGGAGACCGTCATTGTGTGCTACCTTTTAATAAGGTGAAGGCGGGAGGCCTCGTGTGCTCGCTCACATATCCTGGTGGCGAGTGTGGTTCACGTCCCCCTGATGTGGGGTGCTCTCTGAACCCTGTGGGACAGCAGCCCAGGAAGGGCAGGGACCCCCACCCCTGGCTGGGTCCTCTCTGTTCCCTAACCAGCCAGGTGGCTCTGGACAAGCCGCATAGCTCGAGGTTTCTTTGAAATGACGGGTTTGGATGGCATGTCCCTGGTTTCCTGTGAGTGCTAAATCTTTATGATTCTTGAGCAATGGAATGGCTCCCCGACCCCCCGTGGAACAAAGCAGCTGGCTCCAAAACAGAATGGAAGTCGTAAGTTTTGGTATCAGATACATATTTCAACGCCCTTCAGGACATGTCTTCTGCTTTAGGATGGTAATGCAAAAATACAGGGCAGAATGACAGTAACCAAGGGAACACCTAGCGTGCTGGATAATTTTAAAGAGATCTAATTGATAGAAAGCAGTGAAGGACTAAAACTTTGCTTTAAATAAGTTCAATACACTTTTATGAAAATTATACATTAATAAAGCCATGGAAAAAATTTAAGCTTAAAAAAAAAAGCAGGGAAAGATTAAAACTAGAACAGGAAGGCAGTTTTGCAGTCGTCATCATAGTTTCGAAGGTAATGGCTGTTGGGGTGGCTCCAAGGAAGGCACCTGATTTTTCCATTCCTCTCTCTCCCTGAATACACCATTTGTCGCACACGCCTTCTGCAGTTTTGAGTTTCTGAGGGTGCTCAAGTTAACAGAGTAATAGTAAAGCCCTCACATAGCACATCAGAGGGACTGAGGTTTGCCTGTGTGTTTATGCTTGCATGATGTAAACAGTTTTGATCTGCAGATGAAACTTGGCAAAGGCCCCCCTCTCCGCTGCAAACTGTTTTCGGTCCGTGGAAAGCAACTTGAAGAGAGGGGCTGGGGGTACACATGCACCCCATGTCAGCCGGTGCTCTGAGGGTGTGCGGGGGGGATGGGGCCAGACCCACATGCTCTCCCCCTAGCATGCCCTAGCCCTCCCTGGCTGCCCAGCTCCCCATCCACGTGTTCACACAGGGCTGGAGGTAGGGCTCCAGCTGGTGCTGCACCTGCACAAAGACCTTCCTCCCAGGCAGGGTCCCAGGAGCAGCTCACGAAGCATCCTTCAAGGTCCGTTTCCCGTTTCCACACCGAAGGGGCTCGTGAGCTACAGCTGCACCACTGCCTTTTATCCTGAAGTGGGTTTTAAAATGTATCCTTGGAGGAACAATTGCGGGACGCTTTTCCTCAAAAAATAGTGAATTGGCAAGATCACAAATGATGATTCCAAAAGAAATGCAATAAAAATGACCAATAGGTGGTGATTTTGGAAGAGGGCAAATTGTGTTTTTTCAAAGTGCCCCATGGGTAAGACTGCTTCAATGTTCAACCTTTGAATGTTGAAGTGAGTGAGCACATGGCACGGTTAATGTATTTGAGAATGACTCTGTGTGGAGAAGGCTGTGTGTGGCACAGACGTCTGGGAGAGTCAGTCACTTTTCAGACAAAATTCTGCAAGGAAAACATTTAAATCAACCCCCTGTGTGTGTGTTAAGTCACGTCAGTCATGTCCGACTCCTTGAGATCCTGGACTGTGGCCCACCAGGCTTCTCTGCCCGTGGGATTCTCCAGGCAGGAACACGAGGGGTTTGCCACGCCCTCCTCCAGGGGATCTTCCTGACCCAAGGATTGAACCCAGGTCTCCTACACTGGCAGGCAGGTTCTTTACCACTAGCGAGCGCCACCTGGGAGGTTCTTAAATCAATTGATACATGATTAATTTCTAAATCTGTGAATTATACAAAGTTGGATTTAGTAAGTTTTTAAGATGAATTAGAGCCAAATACAAGTCAATGATGCATGCCTTTTCAGTCCATAAACTCTGATTTCTTAGCTTCTGTCTTATCCTCTGAATGGAATCCTGTCTGAAAATCAGTCCTGGCTGCAGCTGTGTCAGGCCATTTTTAGTCCTTTTCTGTATCAGGCAATGTCCAAACACAAGTTAAATCATTCAATTCATTGAATTCAATTTAAGTAAAAATTGTTGGCTTTCAGCATCTGGTGAAATTTAGGGTACTTACTGGTAATACAACAAAGCTTTCACCTTGGATGGGTTTATGTTCTGGTACTGGAGAGACATTTATCCCAAAATATATACTATATGTAGAGACTGGAAGTATTTTAAGGAGCACAGAACACAAGGATTTGATTTCTGGTCAGAAGAAAGAATAACAAAAACCCAAATCTGGGATCATGTTGTTAAAGTTAAAAGGAGTGTTTTTTTTTTTTAAATCAAGATAAAGGAGTGTTGATTATGCCTTTAGTCTATTGTTTTAACACAAAAGACGCTTCTGTCTCACTATTAAAACAGTCTTCCTGATTTCAATTGATCTATTAATTCATAGCTATTATAATCATTCTGGCAATTAGGTTTAGGGGCCCCTCTGCTATAAAAATTACTATTTCATAGTGTAATTATGATGTTAGCAATAACTCATCCTATTAAAATACTTGCTGATTACTCTTAAATTTGTAGCCTCTGAAAAGGCTCCTATATTCAAGGTTTATAATATTCAGATGTTCTGTGATTCATGTGAGGCCACTAAGCTAGGCCCACTTGGAATCTATGAAATGTCAAACCAGAAAAACAACAGCACTTTATAACCTCAGCTAGTGCATGCCCTCATTTACAATTTTATGGTGCACCCTCTTGATACTGAGAACTATTGGGATTTCTGAACTCTTTAAAAGCCATCTTTATAAAGATTTTCCTGAGCCAGTAATTTTAAATGACTATGGTACCTTGTCAAGGGCCCTTAATTAAAATCATCTCCAACTGTCAGCAAGAGGAATGGACTAGAGGATGATTTAAAGACTACAGACAAGTCTGGGAGAATGGTATTTTCCATCATTTTAACATTTCCCTTTTGCTAAAGTGATTGAATAGATTATTTATGAACATCAAGCAAATTTTCTGGAATTAAAAAAAATAATTATATCCCATCCATTTTCTGGTACACCGCCCTTGTCAGAAGAAAGAGTCTAACCCAAGCAACAACACACTGGCTGTGCTGTAGACTTAACACCTTTTGAATACTCAAGGCCTGGTACTGTTGGTTCTGATGCATATTTCCTGTTAAATAATTTGCTTATTTGGGGTTTTCAGCCTCTGAAATTCCACTGGGGAAGACACACAGATAATAGGCATTATAATTGTAGTTAGCATTCTCTACAGCAATGTTATAGGGAGCAAGTGGGGAGACAGCATTACCAGATATTGGTTTTGGTCTTTATTCTTGGTGGAAAGGGACACATGACATGGAAGGGCAAAGCTGTGTGTTTTGAGCTGGATTTGTGTGCATGTGATCAAACTAGAATGTTAGAAAGCGGTGCAGTCTCATTTCTCCTGCCCTCCTGGTTAGTCGTACAGGGCCTTCGGCTCACCGAGTTCCAGCTGCTGACCCGGTGACCAAGTCAACTGGGAGAGAAGCAGCTTCCAGCGGGACTCCTGCACACGGAGCTCTGTGTCCCTCAGGTCCTCCTCTATGGGTGATGCCAGATACGAGGCTCACTCCGTCCGGGCCACCCCCGCCAGGGGCTGTGCAGGTGGGAGGCTAGGGGGCTCCCTCTCAAGTACAAGGTCAAGACTTAAAGTCTGGGGCCAAGCTCTGTCTTCGGTTTTGTGGTTTAGATCTACATTCAGGATCCAGATCTGGGTGCAGAATATCTCAGGCTGAATACAGTTGGGATCTTGCACAAAGAACTGGAACTGAAGAAGAGAACTTGAAGGGATCATCTTCTTTGGTCTGAAGGCTTGTTGGTTGGCCTCCAACTCCCACTCTGCACAAGATCAATATAACGGAAGGTTGACGGGGATGAGGGGAGTCAGATCAATTACATTTGAATCATCATATTACTTTAATTTTTGATGACAAAGAATTCAAAGAAACATTCCCCCCACCCCAGTTTCCTTATATTCTTATAAAAATCTGTATCTGGCAGAGACTATTATATGTTTCCCTGAGGTCTATAGGTTTTCACATGTTTTGATCAGTGGTTTGCGTATGATCCACACTTAATTTCTAGGTTAATCCACATTTGCTTTTAGGCAACTGTAAACCAGATGTTCTTGGGGGGAAAAAAAAAAGCTGAAGCCTTTTATTTTTGTGTGTGTTTGTGTGTGTTTTGCTTGGGGCATAAAAATCATTTTTCCCCCTTCAGTGAGGTTGTTTCCAATTACGTTTGTGCTACAAACACTTAAAAAATTAATGGATGTATTTGGTTATTAGTTTATCTTTCAGCATGCTGGTATTAATGCAGTCATTATGTTAGGTATATTTTTTTAAAAAGCTACTCAAGTGACAAGCTCAATATCATCAAAAGTCCAGGGAATTTGGCCCCTTCTCTGCCTCCCCAAACACAAAGCTGGGGAAACCACCCACGGACGCACATGTGCACAGCATGTGGGCCGGCCGGGTCCCCAGACACTGACATACCTGCCCAGCCCACTGGGCTATTGCGGTGAGAACCACAAGCCCCGATGTGGGAGGGCCACCCATCCCCGGGCACCTGGACATCCCGGCCTGCACCCGCTGTGCATCTGGTGGGCAAGTCACGGAAATGCAAGAGGAATTCTGAACATCCACTGCCCTCCTAAGGACTATCTTACACAACCAAGACCAGCAACCACACTGCTCTGTGTCCTCTGGGTCCTCAGTGACCCTACCCCAGGAAAGCAATTCTAGAGAATGCCCTGTGTGGGGGAAAGGCTTTATCAGCTTGATGGCCTCATGTTTGCTCTATTGCCAGGGAGACCACTATCCCCATTGGTCTGGGGCTGAGCAGTCTCAGGACCAGGCACCTCCGCTTTAGGGCTGGTGGGGTCCCTGAAACACCTGTCTTCTGGAAAGGCCTGCTGACTTCTGGACTTCAGTGTGTGAAGTCCCAGGCGTGGCTTTTGCAAAACTGAAGTCAGAGAGGACTCTTCAGAGTGAGATTATCTTGGCTCTTAGCTCAAGAGACTAAAGCAGAGCAATGAAGGACTTATTTCAGCCCACTGACACCAAGGACAGGAGGGGGTCCTCCGTCAGGATAGCCGGGCTCTCGGAGTGGACGTGCAGTGCGGGGACCCCCCAATGCTCTTCCCTCGTCTCCTCCTTGCCCAGGACAGAGGCCTCCCTTGCCACATGCACCCTAGACAGAGAGAAAATCCAGAGAAGAGAGAGAGGTTTGCTGTGTGTTTAAGTCCCAGGCATGGGTGAAGATGGGTCCAGTTTTGGTCTCAAGCCACAAATTCTGTACAGGGACCATGACCATGGGTCCAAGCGACTGGGACCACTCCAGCCTGGGTCATGTACTCATCCATAGCCAGTGGGGATAGTCCGCCAGTCTTAGGACAAACGCCACGTCTCAGGGTGGGAAGCAGCAGGACCCAGAAGGCAGGAGAGGCGCTGTCCCCGAGGACAGCAGTGTTGTCTGCAGACACCTGCTCATGGCTCGGGTCCTGACCTTGCGCTTCTCTCCATGTGGGCCCCAGGACGTTCTCGGGGCCTGGGGACTCTGGTCAGAGTCGCAGGGTGTGACTCCGCTGCCCGTCGCTGAGCTCAGCAATTGGACGGAAGCACAGTCTCTGGCCTCAGAGTTGAGCCGGGTTTTCACCCCACTCTTCACCGTCTGTGTCGTCTTCTGGTGATGCGCTAACCTCTCCGAATGTCCGAGTCCTTGTCTGTAAGGACCAGATGATCAAAAGCATGTCAGAACTCCGAGAGCAGGTTCCAGAAAACACAGAGCAGCCGCCTCCGTCAGGAGGGAAGGCCCCTTACAGCCCCCGAGCCCTGGGTGAAGCCGCTCCGGGCCCTACCCTCCTCCTGGTCTGTCCCACCACCGCTGAAGCCGCGGCGGACACAGCGCATTTGCCGACCAGCGAGACACCCCCAGCGGCTCCGTGTGGGCGGGAGCCCTACCTTTCTCAGAGCTGGTCTCACTTCACTCTGCCCTGAGAGCACACTGTTGGGGGCCTGGAGGGTAACCCTCTCCCCTCTTCCTTCCTAGAAGACCCCCCCCCACACACACACACACTTGTTCGGACTCACCCCCTGCTTCCTGGTGTGGAGCTCTAGACACAGCCCGTTTGGTCTCCAGCCCCCAGTGTGGCTCCGGGGAAGGTACGCCTGCGCACGCCCTGCGGGGCGGACCCGGGCGTCTGGGAGGCGGAGTCCGCAGGCGGGGTGGGCGGATCCTGTCCGGAAGAGGCGGAGTCTGTGTGACTCTGAGGGCAAGACGGGGAGGAAGCCAGGAAGTCGTCGCAGGGACTTTGTTCTATGGCAAATTCCCACCGAGAAGAACTGAAGGGCCATATTTTCCTTGCTGTACAATGTATAGTGACAGTCACTGGGATTTTTAGAGAATCTATATAATCTTGTAGAGATTTCTAACTACATCTGAGGATGTGAGCAATTTCATTAATCATCTAAGTCAAGTGGAGCTAGAACATAGTGGGATGTATTTAATTCCTTCAGTTTATTCAACAAACGATTGCTTTATAATTAAATGGACCTTAGGATATGAAGACGCAGAGGGAGAAGTCATTCACTGAAAGGCAGCGCTGCCGTTAGTGTTATTTTCCTAATTTCAGCTGCTGCCTTTTGCATTTTTGATTTTGAAAAACAAAACATGAGGGATTGAAGGGTGGCGTGGTCACCTCTCTCCAAGTTTGTAAAGGTCACGTTTTCACAGAGCTTGCCACCTCTGTCAGGGAATTTAAAGTCCCAAGTGCATGTGACAAAGTAATGAAAGAATATCTAATGAGAAGTGGAATAAAAGAGAAAGTGAAAATGGTCCAAGGACAAGGCAAGCCTTTGAGGATGCCCTGGCACTCGGTTTACAGATGGTTTATCCCTCGGGCAAGTGGTGCCCTGTCCTCCACACTCTGGCCTGGCAGCATCTACACTGCTCTGTAAGGACTTTCCTCTATGTCAGGAGTGCTCGTGTGAAAGGCACTGGCGGTTATGCGGTCCTCATGCATCCGTACTATTCTCACCCCTGTGTTCCTAGAAGACTTTCCTTCAAGAAGAGAAGAAGCTCTGGGCTCTCTGATTTTATCCCAATTCCCTCCCTGCCCTCGAGAGTCCCACTTCCCGGTAAGAACTTCCATTCCTGGAAGAAACTTGTCTTTGGGTCATGGCAACATGGGAGTGTTGGGTCTGTAAAGACAGTACAAGGAGGACACAAATGGCAACAAGCAATGTGATGCAATGACTCATGGTCACACTGCAGAATCTAAGTGCTTTAGAACAGTCAAGACTCTCTTCTGAATGTGTTTCGCATACAAGGTGCCTGCTAAATTCTGGTGAAACTGTTATGAGTGAGTGAGATGATTTCTCTGCATCTCTGCCAGGGGTTTACCAACACAACGAGTGAGGTGGACCCTCCATCCGCAACAAACCATAATTGGATTTAATTACTAAATTTAATTCAGTACCGAGAATAATTAGAAAACATATGCCTTGAGTGCAAAATGGAAAGAGATGATAAAGAAGCCACAGAAATGGAGGCTGGGTGACCCGAGTGGCTGGTGTTGGGTCAGAGGTGTAGGTGGCAGAGTAAACACAAGTTTTGCTAAATATATCCACAGATACTGGACTTCCCAGGTGGCGCTAGTGGTAAAGAACCTGCCTGCCAAAGCAGGAGACATGGGTTCAATCCCTGGGTGGGGACGATGCCCTGTAGGAGGGCATGGCAACCCATGCCAATTGTCTTGCTTGGAGAATCCCATGGACAAATGAGCCTGGCAGGCTGCAGTCCATGGGGTTGTAAAAAGTCAGACATGACTAAGGGACTAACTACATGCTTTAGAGGGTGAATCCATCCCAGGAGAAGAATCCATAGCACAGTTTCATGGAAACACAAGTGGAGAGACTGGTGGAGCCCTAGGAGACTTCCTTTTTCAATCTGCCATCATCTGAAGAGTCTTTGATTCTAAGCTGCTTTAAATTTTCCAGCTGCCGTGAGCCTGCTTCCAAGGTTGTTATACATGGGTCAGTAAAACGTCTGATAATCAGTCACTTACCAGTGCCAGATCTGTTTCTAATGAGTTCAAAAGGGTTTGGTTCTTGTGGGTGGTGCATACATGCCTTCACCGTGTTCCACAGCTGTGTTACATTGGAGACAGGCATGCACCCGAGGTTTGACGTGAATTTGCTCCATCATTTGTTCCTTTACATGCATGTGTCTCTTGCCAACACTGTAGTAGAAGACAAGGACCCAGAATGAGGGAGAGACTGTTGTACATGTGTTTAAATGTTTATTACTGCTTACTTCCTAATTTCTTTGCACTTGTGTTGCAAAATATAGGAAAGAGGCAGAGAAAACAATTCTGTGTGGGTTAGAATAAAAAAAAAAATGGTCCTAAATTAAGGACCACCTTTTTAATGGCAAACAGTTGAGATGGAGAAGAATGTTTATTTACACAACAAAGACCGGAATGCATGGATTTGCAGCTGTCTTCATCTTCCATATTCATCAAGGACTTTTCACATATGGAGGATGCTCTTGGGGTCACTTGCGCTGACTTCTCCCCTCAGCGCAGCCCGGCAAAGCAGCGGGTCTGGCTGCCCTGTCCTCGCTGGGGCTAGAGCCCAACTCTCTGAGCAGCAACACATTGATGTCATTGCTTTGTTTCTCTTGTGAAATCACTTTGGTCCCAGCAAACACAGATGGACTCACAGGGCCAAAAGTTTGATTTTTAGAAGATAAAATTGGGTCAGTACCTAGGATGGGCTTAGGAACTTAGAGGTCAGGGTTTGTGAATCTGGTGTCTTAGGCAAATCACTTCTCGGAACATTTTCTGTGGACAGAAGCTACATTTTGCTGGGGGTGGCTGCACTTGCCCTCCTTGCCAGGAGTCGAGTTGAATGCCCGTGCCCCCAGTACAGTTCCTTTCTGTAGATGGGGTGGTGGGCAGCAGCTTCCGGGATGACCACCCTGGGCAGGACCAGGCTCAGATACGTGGTAGAGACTGTGGACACTCACATATCAAGTTTGCACAGAAGAATGAAGGTGAATAAACATTTGTGCATGAGAGTCTCATACAGTCTTGGTAAAATGACCCTTTTGCTGTGAGCACAGCTCTGGAAGTGATCTCAGTGGGGATGTGGAACTCCCGGGGGGCCCCTTCTGGAATCTGGTCCAGGATGACTCTCTGCGTGTCCTGTACCTCAGCGACACTGGATGTGGGTGAACGTGGGTTTATGAGCACAGCAGGTTCCACGTGACGGTCCCTCCGTAACGTGACTCTAAGCCATGTAACCGTCTGAGCTCCTGGAAGAAGTGGGGTCAGAGGTGTGAGGGGTGGATGATGAGGAGATGCATCTTTGTGCCTATGCTGGAGGGATGACAGCCCAGGGCACGTGTTAGTGAGTGGTCTCCCCCTGCCCCCTCCAGGTCGGTGGGCGCCCTGTGAACAAACACACGCACCTTGAAGGAAGTGCCGCGTGGCAGCCCAGACCCTGTAAACAGCCCCTGGGCCGTGCGAGGTCCCTGCCCAGCTGTGCAGAAGCTTCGGTGCTCATGACTCGTTTCCCTCCTTATCTCTAAGCCACTTGACGGTAGAGCAGGACAACCAGATGTAATGTGCAGCTAGAGGAAAAAAATACCTGAGAGAAATAAGAAACTGTTTATGAAAACTTGGCTTCTTTTACCAAAAAATCATTTCATATTAATCATTCTCAAAGAATGGGGCGCATATGTGAAATCAGATACACAGATCAGAGTATTAAAACATTTAAAAAAATGTGTAAATTCCAACTGCTATGAGTTTGCCGAAGATAATCTTGATTTTTTAAAAATATGTTTCCCATTTATTGTAACATTTGAATGCACTCCAAATCATCTTTCGTTCACATTTCTTCTCACTTTTGTTTGTGGATGTCCAAAATAAGGACAGCAGGGAAGAAAATAAACTGCGGCCCATTTCCTCCTTTTCTCCTTAAATAGAAGAGCTTTAAAATTCAATTCTGCTTACTTATTTTGCTTTTGAATCACTGCAGGAGGATGGAGGCCCCATGGCCTGTGGACACAGCTCCGGGTGTGAGAGAAGGTTCCTGCAGGAGACAGGTCCTTGGTCATCTCAGACGCTCCCTCCTGGCTCCCAACTTTGCCCCAAGCCCTTAGGGTCAAAAGGAGCCTGTCTTTCTGGGATGGGTTCTTTTAAGTGGAAAACCCGCCGGTAGCCATCACTCAGAAAATAACAGCACATAGCACCTCTTTCCCAGAGTACGTCACTTGTGCACACACACGCTCACGCTCCCGTCACATAACCCTTGGCGAGGTCCTGTGGACTTACATCCGCCTACATGGATCAGGATCCATCCCATGTGTCAGGATCCATCCACAAGGATTCTACATGCTAGGCTCCCGCCACGTGGGCCGAGTGCTGGGAGGGGGTGGGCTAGCAGGGGGTTGTTCAAAGCTGAAGCCCCGGAGAAAGTCAAGGTGGGGAGGGTGGTGGGCAGTGCCCTTAGGGGCAGCAGTGTGGGCAAGGGCTGGAAAGAGCACGCACTGAAGAATGGGAAGCCGGGAGTGATGGGATCTGACCACTGTCTCAGAAGAGAGTTTGGCTACTCTAGGGATGGAGGAGGTGGAATCTGAGTAGGAGCTCCCGAAGACAGCTGGGCCAACAGATGGACATACAGACAGACAGGAATGGGCACTTCAGAATACATCAGTTGGAGGCAGAACGGTAAGATTTTGTGCTTGAATGTAGGATGGTGAAGGGAGGACTGCCTGGATGGTTCCAGGGTTCAGGGGGAACACCTGATGTCAGAATTCCAGGCTCCAGAACTCTGAGAGTAAATGTCCATTGTGTAAAAGCCCCCAAGTTTGTCGTACTTGTTGCAGCATCTGGAGTGGACTAGACACCCTTTGCACCTTCATATGTTCTCTTTTTTTTTCGTCTGTGATGGACAGCTACTCCTGGGGTCTGCTGATGCAAAGTGTTCAACAAATCCCAGCGCTGTATTCCACCCTTTGATTATATGTGCGTTCATGTTAAGTCACTTCAGTCCTGTCTGACTCTTTGCGACCCTATGGCCTGTAACCCACCAGGCTCCTCTGTCCCTGGGATTCTCCAGGCAAGAATACCGGAGTGTACTGCCATCCCTGATGCAGAATAAAATCTATGTTACATAAAACACAGAGAAAATGTTTTCTTTACAGGATCATGGGTAACTTCTAGGGTCAGTTATTAATAAAAACTAAAAATGTTATGGCCATGATTACCTAATTTGATAAGAAGTAGAAACCCCCAGGAAGTGAAGGAGAGGATGAGAATGACTGCAGCTCTCCGGACATTGAAGTGGAGTATTACAGACCCCTCTGCCCAAGAACAGTCGTTCTCTTGATGTTTTTTTGGCAAACTTTCAAAGTGTGCTGATGTTCACAGTGTGCGTAAAATAGATAAAAATACAAAAAGAACCCTAAGATCACTAAGATCACATTATTTATGAAGTTTCAGAATTTAAAAAAGTGAAACAATAAATCCAGGAATGAACACCTTATTGCTGTTCTGTGGTTGACTTGTGTTTCACTAAACTTGTGTTCACGTCCTGATCTCCAGAACCTGGAAGCGGGTTTTGTGCAGGTGTGATCAAGTGAAGACGGTCACACTGATTTAGGAGGAGCCCTAATCCAGTGTCTGGTGTCCTGACTAGGGCGACAGTTGGACGCAGAGAAACAGGAGCACACACGGGGAAGACCTGTGGCAACAGAGGTGGGTGCTGGGGGGATGTGTCTACACGCCAAGGACAGCTGGTGTTGGGCGGCAACACCACAAGCTTGAGAGAGTAGGAAAGACCCTGTCTCAGGACCCTGAGGACGTGAGGACACCCTGGCTTCTGACTTTCCGTCCTGAGCTGCGACATGATGCATCCCTGTTGTTTTCAATCAGCAGCTCCTTGCGCTCTGTTACTGCAGCGCCTGGAGACTGACACAACTCCCTTCACTATGGGAAGGGTTTGCATGCGCCCCGAGGTTTCTGAGCATTACCTGGTGAACCTACTCTCCCCGACACCCACCCTCCTTCCCGTTCCTTCCTCAAGTGTATGCTCTGTTTTGCTGAGATGCTAGACTGTTACACAGTCCAGGGAGAGCCAAAATACTGAGTGCCAGGACGCACATGCCCCTGTCTCAGTCTCCCTCACTTTAAATCTCCAGAGGCTGGCGACCACCAAGTTCTCACTGCCTTTGTTTCTGTTCTTGTTGTTGTTGGTTTTGTTGTGTTTTGTTTCTCCAACTCAGGTACCCGGAAATGACCTATTTTTGATCCACTGTCTAGACAAATAGATTCATTAAAAAGTCTTTCTTTTTCAAATGTTGCTAAAGGGATTTGACACTGCAAAGAATGTTCAAACTACCACACAGTTGCACTCATTTCACACGCTAGCAAAGTAATGTTCAAAGTTCTCCAAGCTAGGTTTCAACAGTACGTGAACTGAGAACTACCAGATGTTCAAGCTGGATGTTGAAAAGGCAGAGGAACCAGAGATCAAATTGCCAATATCTGTTGGGTCCTAGAAAAGGCAAGAGAATTCCAGAAGAACATCCATTTCATTGACTATGCTAGAGCTGTGTGGATCATAACAAACTGTGGAAAATTCTTAAAGAGATAGGTATGCCAGACCACCTGACCTGCCTTCTGAGAAATCTATATTCAGGTCAAAGAAGCAGTAGTTAGAACCGGACATGGAACAGTGGACTAGCTCAGAATTGGGAAAGGAATACCTTAAGACTGTATATTGTCACCTTGCTTATTTGCCTTATATGCAGAGTACATCATGTGAAATGCCAGGCTGGGTGAAGCACAAACTGGAATCAAGATTGCTGGGAGAAATATCAATAACCTCAGATATGCAGATAACACCACCCTTATGGCAGAAAGCAAAGAGGAACTAAAGAGCTTCTTGATGAAGGTGAAAGAGGAGAGTAAAAATCTGGCTTAAAACTCAACATTCAAAAAACTAAGATCATGGCATCCAGTCCCATCACTTCATGGCAAATGGATGGGGAAACAATGGAAACGGTGACAGACATTATTTTCTTGGGCTCCAAAATCACTGTGGATGGTGACTGCAGCCATGAAATTAAAAGATGCTTGCTTCTTGGAAGAAAAGCTATGACAATCCTAGACAGTGTATTAAAAATCAGAGACATTACTTTGCCAACAAAGGTTTGTCTAGTCAAAGCTATGGTTTTTCCAGTGGTCATGGATGAATGTGAGAGTTGGAGCATAAAAAAAGCTGAGACCTGAAGAACTCATTCTTTTGAACTGTGGTGTTGGAGAAGACTCTTCAGAGTCCCTTAGACTGCAAAGAGATCAAACCAGTCCATCCTAAAGGAAATCAGTCCTGAATATTCTTTGGAAGGACTGTTGCTGAAGATGAAGCTCTAATACTTTGGCCACCTAACGTGAAGAGCCAGTTCATTAGAAAAGACCCTGATGCTGGGAAAGATCGAAGGCGGGAGGAGGAGAGGATGACAGAGGACCAGGTGGTTGAATGGCATCACCGACTCAGTG